TACAGTGGTCAGCAAGAAATGCATCTTTTCTAAAACTCAATTAGTCTGGTTTCAAAAATTAAATAATAAAATCGCAGTTTCTGTCCTCTCTTATTTAAAATAGTAGAAAGTAACTACATCAGAAAGTAACCACTTTAACTGTCAAATTACAAATGTAGATGAAATTCTTACACAGTTAATTTCATTTTTTTCTAAAATGTGTTTCAATTGATTTCAGAGAGGAAGGGATAGAGGGAGAGAGAGAAAAAAAAATCAATGATGAGAGAGAATCATTGATCGGCTGCCTCTTGCACACACACCCCGGCCCCCGGGTATCCAGCCTGCAACCTGGGCCTGTGCCCTGTCCAGGAATATAACTGTGACCTCCTGGTTCATAGATCGATACTCAACCACTGAGCCACGCTGGTTGGGAGAATTTTATTTTTTTTATGATCAGAGCTTCTCTGATTTTAGCCTGTAACCTCAGATGACAGTGCTGAACGTGGTTGCTCCGTGGCTGTGGCTGTGGCTGTGGCTGTGGCTGTGGCAGGTGTGGCTTGATGCAATGGGACACCAGTAAATAGGTCTTGGAAAATCTGATGCTTTTGATCCACAGAAGCCAGCATCTTACTCCATCTGGACTATCTCGCTCTCTGAATGTATGACCAGCTCACAGCTGCAGACAAGACTAATTTCCCCTCGTGGTGACATCTCTGAGAGTGACAGCATTTCCCGTTTAGATGCACCATTTCTGTCAGGGCTAATAAATCCTAATTGGTGTTAAGATAAAAATATATGCTTATGTAATAGACGTGCCCCTCAAACCCATCAGATAAGCAAGTGTGTTCTTCAGTCAATAGCTTCTTTCCTTATCAAACTGTCAGACATGAACATCACAGATCTCCTCAAAGACTCGAATGCTCACGTGCCTCATCACCAATAATCATTCGCATACAATACATTCAGGATTGTGTCAGTCAGATTACACTTCTGTTTAGAAATACAACTTCTGAGTTAGCTTTTACTTTTTGGTGCCTAGAGTTTGCTCCCCTGAGTGGGGTACAAGATAGTTCAGATGACTTAGCAGAGCTCAGGCACCGGAGGAAAAGGGATCCCAGCTTCCAGAACACTCACTGGTGCGGCGGAGGCTGTAGCTGGATCCGAGGGGCGGGAGGAAGGAAGCTGACGTGGCCGCACGCTAGCCCAGGACTGTCCGCGCTCTGAGCGGCCCCAAAGATACATCTGGAGGCGCTGAGTCAGGACCCCGCCCGCCCTCTCCTTGCCCTCACTGACCACGAAGGGCCATGGCTCGCTGCTCAAACGTGTCCTCACTTCTTGAGCCCTGCCTTCGAGGCCAGCTGAGCTCATCCCTCCCAGAGCCCATCAGCCGCCTCCTAGTCACACGCCCAGCCTCTGGGATTCGCTGACCCGCTCATTCTGTCTGACCCTTTCCCCAGCTCCTTCTCTCGTCCACTGCGATGCACCAAGTCATTGTTTGTGGCACAACCTTTCTGCCATTTTCCCTCTTCCTCTCACAGCCTCGGTGTGGGCATTTCACAGTATTTTCCCTTGGTGTTGTGATGGACTAACTGCTGTCCCCATCCATTCGTAACTGAACGCTAATTCCTAATGCCTTCGGGAGGAGGGGCCTCTGGGGGAACTGGGTCCTGAGGGAGGTGCCCTCAGGAATGACACTGGTGCCCCTCAGAGAAGAGACAGGATGTTCATGGCTCCCTCACTGCCATGTGAGGGCGCTATGACAAAAAGGTGGCCACAGGCACACCTGGCAGAGCTCTCAGCTGACACGGGATCGATCGCCTGCACCTTGGAAATTCATTATAAATTAATTATTCTTGGAAAATGATAAAAAATAGACATAAAGACATACGCACAAAGATATCTATCAATTGTGTGTTATGATGTGAAAATTGGAGAGCCATAAAATAGCACATGTTCATTTCTCACACTCCTGGAGGCTGGGAAGTCATTTCCAAACCTCTTCTAGCCTTCTGCTTATGTGAAGTTGAGACAAGCATTTAAGTACTTTAAGGCACATTTTCCTAATTTCTCAAAAGAACAATATTAAATTCATAGAGTTTTATGGGTTAAAAGAGATAATGAGTGTCAGGCACATTACACAGTGCCTGACAGATTATAAGAAATTAAAATTTTTACAATACTTTGTAAAAAATGGCTCTCTAAGTATTGTAGTGTTTATAATATAAATTATTAATAGTATTCTTTTAGTTATTTTGTATAATTATCTTCTGGCACAATTGAAGCAATTTATATTCCTACCAACAGTGTATAAGAGTGTCTACTTTTTATCCTTTCTTTTTATTTTATTTTGTTGATTTGAGAGAGAGAGAGAGAGAGAGAGAGAGAGAGAGAGAGAAGCATTGATTTGTTGTTCCATTTATTTATGTATTTATAGGTTGATTCTTGCCTGTGTCCTAACCTTCAGGATCCAGCCCACAACCTTGGTGTATTGGGACAACACTCTACCTAACTGAGCTTTGAGGGTGTCACCTTTTTTATATTCCATAGGAAGTAGCGTAGTCAGAATGTTTCTTACTATACGTGTCCTTTTGTCCCTGAAGGAAACCATCACTAGACATGCCTTCCACAAAGGGCTCAGCGGCCAGACAGTGTGACAACCCCAGGCCAGAGGCCCAGGGAGCAGGTGATGTAGGATAAGTTAGGAGTCCCTCCTTTCCCACCAATTCCCACCCAGCGGAGGCCCAGCCGTTCTGAGGAGGACCCTGGTCAAATCTGCAGGTTGGCAGGGCTTTGCCAGCTGTTTCCCTGGTCCAGATGAGAGAGGAGGAAAGACAATGCCAACGGAAGTGCTTGCTAAAGAATCCTGGGAGAGAATGGGCCGGGCCTGGAGCTGACCAATTGGCGAAGGGGAGGCAAGGGATGGGAGCTGGAGGGAGGCAGGCTTCTGTCCCGCTACCTGAGGGGTCACGGTATTGTTCAGCAGCATGAAAGAAAAGCAGTTTTGGAGAATGCGACCAGTTTAGCTTGGGTCCTAGAAAGTTTGAATTGTGCTTGGATGCCCACGAGGAGACATTGAAGGCACGGTTGTATGAGACTGTTCCATGGGCAGGGTGCACGGGGCTGGGTTGTGACAGATGTGAGTTAACAGCCAGATAACATCGCTGGCTGTGGAGAAGGCGTGCTACTTCCTTTGCATTGAACAGCATTCCTGCACAGCCTGCTCAGCAGCCTGGCACATCAGGATCCACAGTGGCACTGGGATTATTAGAACGAGCAGAGGGAGCACGTGCGTGCCCAGTTCAGGGCCCAGGCCTGCTCTCTAAGCTGTGCTTGCATGGGACTGTGGTATTTGGCAGAGGAGAATGAAAGTGGGCGAAATCCACGGAGGACAGTGCTTAGCAGGTTCGTGATGATGGTGGGACAGTCACGTTCTGCCAACAGCCACTGCCCTGCGTCTGCCATTCATGACAGTTATCCACGACTGGCGACAGAACCATGCAGCCCTGTCAGCCTAGCAAAAGACGGACAGTGCATGACAAATTCAAGTCCAGATATCGGCCCGGTGCCAGGAAGCATTCTGCTAAGCAGATGGGGTGCCTGTAATTTCCCCCCAGTGGGGATTCAAAATAGGGTTGCAGCTTTAGCCAATAAAAATATAGGATACTCCGTCTATTTGGATTTCAGATATAATGAATAACTTCTAGTATAAATATGTGCCAAATATTATCCATTTTTATTCTAAAAATCTTCACTGTTTATCTGAACTTTGTATTTAATGGGGTATCCTGCCTCTTCTCTGGCAACCCTCATTAGAAATGGACAGCCACAGAAATGCTCGGAGAAAGTGGGGTGAGGCTCCCTTCCAGGGTTCATTGATTTTGCTCATTTCTTGAAGGAGAATGCTCAGGCAGATAAAGGCTAAGTAAATAGTTCCAAGTTCTATGAATAGTGAGCCAAAGAACGACAGTTGTAACTTAGAGATGACTGTCGCAAGAACCTGTGATTGTCACCTACTGTGTTAGAAGACTGTGGTATTCTGGACATAAGGTGTGGTTGAAGGTGTCTCTTGTACTCAAGAAATGGGTGGTCTGTGGACAGCAGCTGTCCACATTAATAATAGGAATGTAGCCCAGCCAGTGTGGCTCAGTGGTTGAGCATTGAGCCATGAACCAGGAGGTCACAGTTCAATTCCCAGTCAGGGCACAGGCCCGAGTTGCAGGCTTGATCCCCACTGTGGGGGGGGGGGGGGGGGTGAAGGAGGCAGCCAATCTATGATTCTCTCATCAGTAATGTTTCTCTCTCTCTCTTTCCCTTCATCTCTGAAATCAATAAAAATATTTTTTAATTAATACTAATAGGAACACGGATCCTACAAACTATTAGAAGGTGGGAGTGCCCATCTTCCTCTGATTCACTAGGGGCTTTATGGCTCAGAAAACAACAACCCTGGAATTTTGGTTGTGGGACCTCATTCAAAAGGGTCTGTCCATGCCTGTGGGGCTTGTGTCATGGAACATTCCCATCCTCTTTCTTGCCGTTAACTTTTCTTAGCCATGAAGGGGAAACGATCCAGAGTTGTTATTCTGTTGGGAATTACTGCAACCAGGAAGTGGAGTTATGTGAGGGTGAACTTGGGAGGAAGAGCCAGCTTGGCGCTCTCTGTTGTCCCCAGGGAGCCTGGCTGCAGAGGGTGGTTCTGTTCTGCTCCTTCAAGGCCAGGGCGAGTGGAAGGGGCTACAGCCTCAGGGCAGGACAGTGCCATGGGGTGGGCATGCACCTCTTCCCCGGTTTGGTGTTAGCCAGACCTTCCCCCCACATCCCCCAAGCAGCAATGAAATGACATATGTTTAGAACCAGATGAGGTTGCTATTCCACTTCAGGTCATCCAACAGGGCCTCCTGCTTTCTCACACCTCTATTATTTTACACATTTAAAATGTTATCTTTATCTTTAAAAAAAAATGTCGTATTTTGTACAAAACAATGTGCAGGGTATGAGATTCCTCTCTTATTTCATTGAGCCTTGTTGTGCGTGAGAGGCTTTGCAGGCACGGCGTCCAGAAGAAATCTCTCAGGGATCAGCACACGTGGAAGCAGGACTTTATTTCCCATCAAGGGAGGGAAAGCAAGTCGGATTCGACAGGAATCTGCCAAACGCATCTGTGTGTCCTGGAGTCAGAGGGCCCGACAGGTTGCTTCCTCCTAAGGAGACTTGGACTTGGGAGCCGGCGTTGGGTAGGGAAACAGTATCCACCACCTCCGACAGCACCTTTGCTCATCATTACACACCCCGATGGTGTCGTCCGTGGAGGTGCAGCCCCCCTTCTTGCAAATGCCTCTCAGAAGGACACACTGTTTTTTACCCGGAACAATGCCGGCCCTTGCTGCACAGGGAGAGATTTAACAAAGCCATTAGGTCACCATCCATTCTGGTCATGCCCATAGAGCAGGACATTTACAGAAAACTGGCTATGAAATGAAAAACCAGACTCTTAGGCCAAAAGAGTGCCTCTGGGGGAGGGCCAGCGACTGTGGGACCAAACTCCTATGGAGAGGGCAGTCCACGGACTTCTAGAAGCTTGGAGAGAGTGATCCTCTGCTGGGAAGCACACTCTGACACGTATGGGGCAGTGTGTTGTCACCATGACAGGGGAGGTGTCCGTGGTGTGTAGTGGGTAAAGCCCAGGGTTGTTAAACTTTCCACCTATTGAATTTTCCTGGAACTACTTTCTCACCTTTTTCTGCAGACAGTCAAGAAAGAGTCCTGCCAAAACCAGTTTGGCTTAGTGGATAGACCACTGGCCAGTGGACTGGAAGGTTCCAGGTTAAATTCTGGTCAAGGGCATGTACCTTGGTTGCGGGTACAACCTCAGTAGGGAGTGTGCAGGAGGCAGCCAATTGATGATTCTCTCTTATCGATGTTTCTAACTTTCTATCCCTCTCTCTTCCTCTCTATGAAAAATCAATAAAATATATTTTTTTTTAAAGAAAAGAAAGAGTCCTTCAGTTTCCACCTTACCTAGTTCCCCATTTCGGGACTATACAAGAAACACATGTTCTGAATTGCTCCACACCCCTTAAATGCAGACACACAGAGAGGATTTCTCTCCAAGTTGAAAAGCAGTTTTCCTTAAATGCATCCCTGTGTCCTCTTCATTCATTTGGCTACAGAGAGACAGAGCTGTGTGCTCCAACACCGTCATTCCCTGTAGTCCCAGTACCTGTATCTCATTCCATCCGATTGTCCTGAGAGACACTAACCCTTTGCTAGCCCTCTGGTGTCACTGGCTTGGGAAAGACAAACTGGGCTGATCTTGACTGTCGTGGAAGAAAGGGGACCTCCTGGCTTCAAAGGCCTTGGTCACCTTGGTGGGGAGGCTCACTCTGCTCCAGATAACGCCCTGTTCTCCACCGTCTCTTCTTTTCCTGTGGTGAGGACACTGGACGTGAGGTCTACCCTCCTACATGACTGAGTGCACAGTTCAGTAGCGTTCAGTAAAGGCTCAGTGTGGGCCAGCGGGTCTCTGGAACTTTCTCATCCTGTGTGCATGGAACTCTATACCCACTGAGCAGCAGCTGCCACCCCTCTAGGCCAGGGCAACCATCCTGCTGCTCCCTGGTTCTATGAGTTTGACTATTTTAGAGCCCTCATGGCAGTGCAATCCTGCAGCGTGCATCTTTTGTGACTGGCTTAGCTCAGTTAGCATCATCATGTCCCCCTGGTTCCCAGTGTTGTGCACTCTGTCCACCAGCCTCGTGTCCATTGTCACTGGCCTCGGTTTCCATCTTTGAATCCCCCGCCCTTCACACCTTCAGTGAGGCACTCGCTGTACCTACCACCTTTGTGACCCTGCCTATGCGTTGGGACCATACTTTCATGGGGTTTGGATCTGGGTGCCTAGGGTAGAAACTTCCTTTGGGAGAACAGAGAAGGGGCCTCATCCAATGAGAGGTGGGGACACAGGGGCAGCAGAGGGTTGGGACAGTATACGCTTTCAATCCAGACATGATGCTGACCCAGAGAACCCACAGAACCCGCAGAGCTGGAGCAGGCTTGTTTACCTTTGGATCACATGAATTGCCAGATTGCAAAGGTAAGAATTTTGACTTCCTAAGTCCACATGATTGTTCTTAGACCCTTTCTCTCTCTTCACCTGGTTGCTGATGGTTTCTCAGGCCCAGTTCCACATGTTGACCTCAAAAGATGATTATCTCAAGATTAGGAAAGAAGGAGGCTACTATGGATCTGAAACAACTCCTGCGGTGGAGCCAGGAAGAGAGACCGAAAAGATAGCAGAAGTCGTGAAACAAGGGGCAAGAAAGTCACAGACGCCCACCTGTCAGGCTTGTGGGCTGCCTGGAATCTGCAGATAGTCCCGCTCTGTGTGTGTCACCCACACGAAGAATAAAGTCTGGCCGCCTTGCACTCCTTGTCCTTTACATGCCCACCTTCCCCCAATCAGCAGTGGTGCCATACGCCTTTTTGGGGGGCATCATTTCATAAGAGCCTTGGCACATTTCCTTATGGGAATATGAGGTCATCTTACAGTCCCAGAGCTCACGAATTCCTTCCTTATTAGGGACATGACATTGGCCTCCTTCTTTCAAAGGGCTCATGAATGAACACTTAGATTCAGTTTTTCACTCCAAAGGCATGCCTCAAGGAAGTCTTCTCTAACCTTGAACACAGACAATGGCCATGTGCAATCCTCCATTCCTTTTCATTGACTCATTCAAATCCACAATTACCTCCTGATCTGTGCAATCATTTGACTAACATCTGTCTTCTGTATCATGAAAGTCACTTCATTTGGTTTCCCACAAGGTCCCATATTCTTTGTTAAGTAACAAGGTCTCAATAAATATTTCTTGCTGTTGAATACAGTTACTCTGACCCCCTCCACATTTTTTCTCTTACTCCTTCTTAAAACCTCTTGGCTTCAGCCTAGTTTTGACAGTCTGGTTCCTGCTCTTGGATGGATTATTCTATTTGTGGGTATACAGTCTGGTTTGACTGTCAACTTTTCTCAATCTTAGACCTATATTTCCTAGAATCCCATTTTCCCATCAGTTATTTCTGGCCTTTGCTCTAGAACCACCTTTTTATCTCAGTTTTCTTCCCACCCTGGGACTGAACCATTGCCATATCTCTTTTTCTACCATAAGGGTGGGTTTTGACTAGCCCTTTACTTCTTCCAATCTATCCCTCTTTAACCTTCAAAAAAATAGACCAGACTCATAACATGGGCTGTGATTTTGGATAGAGACAATAATTTAAGCTGAGCTGAGTTTAGCTTAGGTAGTGTAGGGCAAGTCGGGACAAAAATCTACACTCATCAGACATGCTGACACATGTATCTTGGGAAAGTGCTTTCAGCTATGTAAAAATTGATAGCCATTTATCTGATTATCAGGAACATAGGAAAATTTAAAGACTAGCATAAAACAGTCCAATAATAATACCAGAACATGAAGCCAACTCAACAGGCCCACCTTAAACACTCAAAGAAAGGAATTTGGAGGAATGTGAAATAAGATGTGTTTGTGTCTTTTAAAAGAGAAAACTTGAAAATCTCTTTGGTTCCTCCATATCCAATTAGGGGATTGAGGAAAAGGGCCTGATAGAAATTGGGATTATCATTTCATGGGCATACCCATGCCTGTAGATTAATGGAAACAACACTGACCCACATTAAAGATACTTGGTTCTAGCCTCAGTATTTGCTGCCACTTATGTGACTTGCATAAAGTCTTATTTTCTGTCTCTGTGTGTACAAGAACTCTTTTATCTGTAAAATTAAAGAATTAATCATTAGATTGCTTTCTAGTTTTTAGTCATTAACATCACATAATCTTACATTAGGTGTCATTACAAGTGTGTCTTCTTATGACAGAATTGAAAACCAAAGGAGAAACAATATGAACTCCAGGATGAGAAAATTATATGCCTTGTAGATCCCAATATATCCATGGATTAGGCAATGATCAAACAAATGAGCATCTTTGGTTTCATTTAAGTCGATCTTAGAGTTGAACCAAGGAAGAGAGAGAGTTATCCAAACTATGTCTATGCTCAGTGGCCACAGACATTATTTTGAGGGATGTGATCATCTGTCACTAAAAGTGGAGGAAAGGATTTTGTCAGTTCTTACAAAAATCTGGTTGAAAGTGACCACATTCCCTTTGCTTTTTGATTCTACATGTCAATAGTCAAACTTCTGAACCATGGGTCATAAAGATGTAACTCAGATTCTCAAGCCCTTTTTTCATATTTTGTATTTTGCTTAAAATTTGACAGGTGAAGCTTTATCCCTCTGTTAGTGCTTTTTCCAAATTCTGCTACTCCCTATTTATTTGTTTTTTATAATTTGACACAATCCTCTCTTATTGAGCTCTGCGTTATGCATCTAACTTCTACCCTTCACAAAAACTCCTCGCCAATTGACTACATCTTCCATTCACTAAATCAATAGCTGCTATTTTTCACTCGCCTTTTGAGGGATTGTGGCCCTGGTAATAGCTATTTGATTTGTATGTTAATTCTTAAGTCACATGTCCAAGCTTCTTTACCTCTCTCTCTCTACTTGGGCTACATTTTATAATCATGGAGCTCTTGGGTCTTGTTTTCTGTTGATGTAAATCTTTGTCCTGCTTTGCCATGCTATCCTCATCTGTTAAGGGAGACGAGCTTGCTGCAATTCTGAATTTTTAAAGGTTATGCATTAGGGTCTGAGTGAAGATGGCCATGGGAAAACTGAGCATACCAGTAGGCCTCCTGAGAAACCAGGCTCTGTAATTATCCACCATCTTACCTTTCAGTATTATAGTCACAAAGAAGAGGAGCACAGGAAGCAGGGGAGAGAGTCTCATGGTTGAATGCCCAGTGAGAGGTGAATGATCGGGGTGACGGAACACAGGGCCTTTTATTAATTTCTGGAGAACTGACATTCCTCTTGGTCAGTGAAGCTTAACAAGTAAGAAAATAAAACAGCTTCTGTTGGAATATCTCCAAAATGTGGAATCTTTAAACTTGGTGACAAATTAACCTAATTACAGGAAGCCAGATGGCCAACACTTCACTTTTTTCAGTGTACACTCCAGTTCTTCAGAGGCCAGTACCTTTGGCCAGTCTTTTAAAGGAGACCAGGAGGTAGGCTTGTGAGTGTAGTTTTTTGTTTGTTTTTTTACCAAAAGTCCTCTGGCTTGAAAGGGGACTCTTCTAAAACACTCTCTTTTCCACAGTAGGGATAAGAGATTGCCAAAGGATCTTTTTTTTTTTTAAGTGAAGTGCAAGTTTAAATTATTTCTTAAAAGAGAGGATAGTGTCACGTATGTGCAATGTTCTTAATAGCATCTGAAAGGTAAAGATACTTAGTTCACATAGAAAACTAACATTTTTCCTGTCCTTTATCAATCATTTGTGTAACTGTCCCACATGGCAAGGATGGTGAGATTGGATGAGTTAAAATATCAGAAATACAGAGCACAGTATTTCCTCAATGATCATCTGTTGTCAAGACTGTATGTCAACTGTAATTGGAAAACAAAAAAAAAACAATTTAAAATAAAAAAGAGACTATATGTCTCCAACTTAAAGAGAATCCCTATTCTCCCAACCTTCCCCAACATATTGGAACAAGGCATTAAAAGTACCTTATGATGGATTGACCCCTTTATTATTCTACTAGAGGCCTCGTGCATGAAAATTCAGGGACTGAGAGGGGGATCCCTCAGCCCAACCTGCCCCTCTCTCAGTCCAGGAACCCTCAAGGGCATGAGGTGACCCGGTGATCAGGGTAAGGTGATGCCCCATCACACCTCTGCTGCTGCCAGTGCCAACAGTGGAAGCCGTGACCAGCCCTGGTTATCTGAGCCTCAGGCAGTCCTGGGTAGTTGGGTAGCCTACATCTGAGGTTTGCCTGTGCCTTGGGCTGGCCCTAGGCAGCTGGGCAGCTGCCATTCAAGGCTTGCCTGCGCCTCGGGCAGGCCCTGGGTGGCTCGGTGGTTTGGGGGTTAAAGGGACTGGGGGATTCTGAGGCAGAGTCACAGAGCAGCCAGGCCCACCTGGGAGTGGGCCCGCCTTGCCGTTTGCCTGCCACCCTGGCAGGGCTGAGTGGACTGGGCGCTGCCATCTTTTAAAGTATGGCAGTCAATTAGCATATTCCCTCCTTATTGGCTGTGGGCACCACCATATTTGAGGGTGGGACAGTCAATTAACATATTCCTTCCTTATTGGCTGTGGGCACCATTCTCTTTGCGAAGGCATGAGGGTCAATTAGCATATTCCCTCCTTATTAGATAAGATAATGACTTCCTTTGTCTCTTTGTACTGCTTGTAGCTTAAAGTCCGTTTTTTCTGATATAAAGAATAGCTTGCCGAAAGTGGTTTGGCTCAGTGGATAGAGCATTGGCCTGTAGACTGAAAGCTTCCGGGTTAGATTCCGGTCAAGGGCATGTACCTTGGTTGTGGGCACATCCCCAGTAGGGGGTGTGCAAGAGACGGTTGATCGATGTTTCTCTCTCATCCATGTTTCTAGCTCTCTATTCCTCTCTTTTACTCTCTGTAAAAAATCAATAACATATATTTTAAAAAAAAAAAAAAAGAATAGCTAACCTTGTTTATTTTGGTTACCATTTGCTTGAAGTATCTTTTTCCATTCCTTCATTACAAAGTCTCTGTGTATCTTGTAAGATCCCTAGGCTGGCCAGCAATCAGGGATAATCTGTGGGGCAAACAGTGGGAGCAATAGGAGGGCACCCGCCTTGGCCAGCCTGATGCCACCAGCTCACTGGCCGCACACCCTGCTGCCGCTGGTTGCCTCCCTCTACTACAGGACACCAGTGGGGTGATCAGTGAGGGGGGGCCCGCTGTCACCTGCCTTCGCCGACCTGGGACCTTTTGGCTGGGGGCAGCTCCTGCATTGAACATTTGCCCCCTGGTGGTCAGTGCATATCATAGCAACCCATTGTTCCATCATTAATTTATTTGCATATTAGGCTTTTATTATATAGGATGATTATTGATAAGTAAGAACTTACTTTGCTATTTTGTTAAATTTCTGATGATTTGAAGTCCATTATTTCTTGCTTATTATCTTGCTGTCTTTTATAATTTGACCTCTTTTAGTATCAGTATGCTTGGACATCATGTTCTATTGTGTAATTACTACAGGGTTTTCCCTGGAGGTTTTACATAAAGTATATTAAAGTTTAGCACTTTATTTTAAACTTATAGAACATGCCCAGCCAATGTGGCTCAGTGGTTGAACGTCAACCTATGAATCAAGAGATCATGGTTCAAATCCTGGTTAGGGCATATGATCAGGTTTTGGGTGCTGGAGGCAGCCAATCAATGATTCTATCTCATATTGGTGTTTCTATCTCTCCTCTCTTCCTCTCTAAAATCAATAAAAATAAATTTTTTAAAATAGTTTTAAAATAAGCAAATAAAATATATATTATAAATAAATAAATAAACTGATAGAACATAACTTCAGTAGTACTCCTAAACATTTTTATGACAGTGAATATATCTTATTTAAAATATGACAAACTTTTTAAAATATTCAAATCACCAAAGCTTACTCAAGAAGTTATTGATAACATGAATAATCCCTGATATCCCCAGAGAGTGGAGAGGGTGAAGGAGCTCTCTGACCACCATTTATGCACTTAGTGCCTGACCTTACAGCCTAGCTCTACTGTTTTAAGGTCAAGTTTGCCCTAACCCTTGTAAATATTGTATCACATTATGTAGAAAATGTGCACACTCTGAGAATAAAAAAATAAATATTGCATTATAGAAAGAAAAATGTGGTCTTCACCACATTTTTCTAGTCATCAAAATTTAATACATGAGTGAAAACTAAAACTATTAAGATCTACTTTGAGGGATGTGACATCAGGAAAGGAAAGTGAGAACTTCTGACAAGAAGGGGAAAGATGAACTTGAAGTCAGAAGTTATGGAGTAACCCAATCTCTATGTGAAAGGAGTACTGACAGCATACTCTTCAAAGAGGTCAATATGTAGTCACAGTGAAATTCCAGTTCTACGAAAAAATTATGTGTCTAGGGGAGTAAAACCTTGGGAATCTAAATGATCAGAATGTTCTTTCATAGGGGTAACATCAGAATCTCTTTGTTAGTTGAAGTTTTATTGTTTAGATACTTAATGTACATTTCTATTTATCTTCAACCTCTGATTGTTTCTCCTTTCTTTTTTTCATCTCTTTGTGGTTATCTGCTGTGCAGTTACCATCTTTGTGTTTATCCTAACTTATTCTTTTCTTCCCCCTTTCTATTTTGTTCCCTTTCTTTATCTATATCTCTTCCTTTTCCTTATATTTTCTGAATTTCCTCTGTGTTTTGCCTTTGCATTTTTTCTGCATGTCTATTTAATGATGTTTTGTATAATTAGTTTCACCTTTGTGACTTTTTGTTAACCTTTTGTTCTTTCTGTAACAAATTTTAAAATATGCATTTATTGTTAAATAAATGGCCTTTCTCACTTTAAAAGACATTATTTGTATCTGAAAAGGAATCCAAAGAAGTAGCATGTGGGTAGATTTTAAATCATTATGTATTTATTTTTAGTGACACAGGAAAATAAAAGTTGATCATAAAGTTGGAATGCATCAAAATATATATATTCTAATGTTAGAAGACAGCAATGTTCCTTTGGATGCTTCCTTTTCCTCATTTCATTTCACTCTAGGCTTCAGAGGTTCTTGGTAGTCTGAATATATAGATGGTGTGGGGACTGGTATCAGGACCCACCATGCTCTGCAGCATGGATACCTTTTTCGGCAGGCACCAATGGTATCCTCTATGACTTTGCAGATGTCTCTTCTACAGGTGCCGGACAAATTGAGACAATGGCTTTCAGAAGGACCCAAACCGCTTCTTACTGCAGAGAAAGAGAGTCGTGAGGTAATTAGTTCATGAGTGAATCCACTCTGCCTGTGAGGACAGAAGAGTTCTGGATTGAGCATTTCTACATGGAGAGAAGGAGCTGGATGAAGGCTCTTCCCACTCACTGTCCCCCCTCACAGTCTCTGTTGTTCACCCAACAGCCTGAGTGTTCACAATGCCTTCCTTTTCTTTAAGTTCTTGTCCTTGCTAATGTAAGAACTTCGGTAAATGTCAAAATGGAACAACAGGTAGATGGATAAAATATGCATTTTAAATATACCTGTTTTCTTCATTTATTCGTTTATATGGGTCTTCAGCCAAGATTTACTAACTTCTCCTCTTTGTCAGTCATTTTTCTTTATACTAGTAATAGAACACTGAAAATAGCTGAAATGGTTTGTATTCTCACAGAACTTATATTCAATAAAGGAAATAATGACTACACAAAAATAAATGAATAATATAATATCAGAAAGTGACAAGTGTTTAGAACAAAATAATGTGATAATGGAAAGGTTTGGATGATGGAATTGTTAAAATAGAGGCTTTCTGAGGAGGATGTAGCTTTTGAAATGACATCTGAATGATGAAAATAAAAAGACATTCATTCTCCTGGCTTAGTTTATTTGGAGAATATCGATATAAAGACCTGTGTATATGGAGAATATTGGGGGGGGGGGGGGAATTCTAAAATTCATATGACACCATGAAAAAAATCCCTGAATAGTTAAGGAAATCTTGAGAAAGTAGAACGAAGATGGAGGCATCACACTTCCTGAAGTCAAACTGTATTCCAAAGCTATATTAATCAAAACAGTATGGTACTGCTCTAGAAACAAATTCAATAGACCAAGGAAACTGAATTGAGAGCCCAGAAATAAACCCATGTATTTTGGTCAACTAATATTTAATAAATGTGCCAAGAATAACCAATGCGGAAAGAACTGTCTCTTCAATAAATGATGCTGGGAAACCTGGATATTCACATCAAAACAATGAAACAACTCACAAAAATTCCCTTAATGTAGATTAAAAGCTTCAACATAAGACCCAAAGCCATAAAAGTCCTAGAAGAAAACATAAGAACAAATTTACTTGACATTGGTCTTGACAATGACCTTTGGATGTAACACCAATAGAACAAGTCATAAAATGAAAAAATAAGTAACTGGGATTGCATCTTCTTCAAAGCAAAAAAAGCCATCAACAAAATGCAAAGAAACCCACAGAATGAGAAAAAAATTTTCAAATCATAACTATCCAGATATATATAGGACCCATACAACTAAACAGCAATAATAATAATAATAATAATAATAATAGTAATCCAATTAAAATATGAACAAAAGACTTGAGTAGAATTTGTTTTTTAATGGCCAACAAGGACATAAAAAGGTGCTTGGTAGACTGAAGCAAAGTGAAAATCCAAACCACAATGAGATACCACCTCACACCTGTTAGAATGGCTATTATAAAAAAATATAAGAGATAACAAGTACTGGTGAAGATGTGAAGAAAAGGGAGCCCTGGTACACTGAGGGTAGGTTTGCAAATTAGTGTAGTCACTATGGAAAGTAATATGGAGATTCATCAAATATTTTAAAGCCGAACTATTAGGTCTAGTAATAATTAATGTCGTTTTCTAATATTATACTTTTTTAAATCGAATTTATTTAAACAATACAACAAAATTTAATCAACAATATAGTTGCCGTTGTTTTCTACTACTTGTGCCCAACGCTCAGGAAGCATTTTAATCCCTCTGTTGTAAAATTCTTGTGATTTTGATGCAAAAAATTCGGTCAATGCATTTTTGAGGCATTCTTCATTATTAAATTTTTTTCCAAGAAGAAAGTTTTGCAAAGAACGAAACAAATGGTAATCGGAAGGGGCAATATCAGGAGAATATGCAGGTTGAGGGAGAACTTCCCATTCCAACTGGCACAGTTTTTCAGCAGTGATTCTTGCAGTATGCGGTCGTGCGTTATCGTGGTGAAGAATTACGCCCTTCCGATTAATCAGCGCGGGTTCTTTTTCTCTTAAAGCTTGGGCTAACCTTTCCAATTGGGCACTATACACTGCACTTGTAATGGTTTGGTTAGATGGTAAAAGTTCATAATGAAGAATTCCTTTAAAATTCCACCAAACACATAACATCACTTTTTTCGCATGCAAGTCAGGTTTTGGCGTGGGCTGCGGAGCCTCATTTTTGTCCAACCATTGAGGCCGCCTTTTCAAATTAACATACAGCACCCATTCTTCATCTCCGGTAACAATTTGCTCTAAAAATGGCAAACGGTTTTGACGAGAGAGGAGCGAACTGCAAATTGTGACTCTTTGATTACGGTTGTTGTCGGTCAACTCATGAGGAACCCATTTTCCAAACTTTTGGACTTTGCCAAGTGCACGCAATTGATTGGAAATTGTTTTTTGTGAACAATTTAAAGTTGTCGCAAGCTCTTGTTGGGTAATTTGAGGATTTTGCACCAAAAGAGCTTGAAGAGCTTCTTGATCAAAATTGGACACACGGCCTCGACCACTCTTGTCATCTAACGAAAAATTTCCCTCGCGAAATTTCTCAAACCAACGCTGGCATTTTCTGGCGCTAACTGCATCTTGACCAAGAGCACTATAGATGTTTTTTGCAGCCTCACTTGCTTTTCTTCCTAATTGGAACTCGTAAAGCATGCAGTGCCGAATATGCTCTTCATCCGCCATCTTCTTAGCCCTAGTTTTGCAACAAAAACCAAACCAAACACAAACTTTTTCAAGCAAAACTTGTTAATTGCACTTCACACGTTCTGTAGATACCACGTGTTTGAAGGTTATGTCAATACAAGTCAACGCCAAGCAAGATTTTAAACGAATGTTTAAAAACGACATTAAGTATTACTAGACCGGATACCATATGATCCAACAAACCCACTTCTGGATATATATTTAAAGGGAAATAAATCACTATCTCAAAGAGATATCAGCATTGTTTATTGTAGAAATATTCACAATAGCCAAGATCCTAAGAGTCTATTATCAGGACAGACATAGAATCTGTTGATGGAGGAAGAAAATGTGGTATGTGTAACAATGAAATATTATTCTGCCACAAAGAGAGAAATTCCATAAACACTCTGGCATTTCACTGAGTATGGGGCAGTTGTTCTCTGAGGCTGGTCATGGGACAGAATCCCAGAGAGATACTTTCAGGGTTCAGATGTAGAAACTATTGAACTTGAGATGGTGTAGAAGACCCAAGAGAAGCTCCATGGAATGCTGGCCACAGCCCACTGTGCTGGGATAAAACTATGGAGGAGATTCATGGGGGCAAACTTGGGAACTCATCTTTGAATATTAATTTTAAAAATTAAACATCTATATAATGTTATAAATTACACACCGTTAAATATTCATTACAAGACTGGACTTCAAAAGAGAAATTCAGGAGGGGGACTTAAAAAGGATGGAACTAACTCCAAGGCCTGGATGGAGAGAGAGAAGAGAAGAGGGCCAGGAACTAAGCCTTGGATCTTTCCAGTCTGGGAGAAAAGGAGGTGGAAAACTACAAAATGGCAGCCTATTCCATAGAGGGCCCAGAAGGCAGTATCAAAGTGAAAGATAAGGACATAGAAGCAAAGGCAAGGACATGGGCCAACAGAGCTGAGACCACTAAGAAAGGAGGAAGTATTTGGACCACTTGAGTCTCAAAGCTCCTTCCGGACAGGGATGTGGAGACAGAAGAAATCCCATGCAGCTCTGACCATTGTTGAATCCTGCTTCTATTGTGAGCACATGAACGCCCACCCACAAACTCATGAATCTGCATGGTCTGATTCAGCATTGTCCACAGTTCAGTGGAGGCTGTCAAATAAGCATCCTGGGAACATGGGCAGTTGCATTTCCAGCAGCAGGTTTTTCTGTATTTGAGCCATAGCCTTCGATAAGTCCCCATTGATATCATACTTCCCAGGGTGAAATTCAGAAGTGTGCCCAGCAGTGAGTACAGTCTGAACAAGTCCTTCTTTAAATGAAAGGATTTAATTTAGCATTCCAATACAGTTATTAACAGCAGTCCCTTTACTTTCCAAAAGTGTCTAGTTTGGATAAAAAGGTATATGGGCAGCCTCCTTTTACAACCATGGACATATCTCTTCCATAATGAGAGCTCATCTCCAAACTGAAATATTTCCAGGTGCAAACATAAAGACTACTTGGTGTAATATGTGTCTTCTACTTATGATCTGTCCCACTGGTATGAAGTAGCCTTGCTTGATGAACAAACTACATTCTCTCTACACCATTGCCTATTGGCCTCTTAAGCTCTGGAACATTGTTTCCAGATGCATGAATACTTAAAGCCCAGACTTGTGGAGCTCTGCTACAGACCTCAGTCCTCACCTCTGAAAATGGTGAGTTTGAACCTGATAACACAAAGGATTTGTGACCATAGAATATCACCTTTTGTATTGCCCTCTCCATTCCCCAGCACAATTGCTTTCTTACTGCATATCTAATGCATTCGTGTTCCAAAGTGTGTACTCCAGCCTCATGTCACAGGACCAGATTTAGGCTTTGGGAACCTATTTTTTGTGGCCGTCGTTTACCATAGAATCCCTTGCCAGAATGTGAGTGAGCACATCATCTTCTCAGTAACCCCTCCTCCTTTTGAAACCCAACACAGGTGTGTGCCATTTAGAGACCATGACCAGTTTGGCTGGGACAGTTCCGTTTTGTGCCTGTTTGTTCCGATGCGGTTATAACAGGGGTCCCTTTACTTTCCAAAAGTGTCTAGGTATATGCCCAGCCTCTTCTTGCAACCATGGACATGCCTCTTCCATAATGAGAGCGCATTTGCATCCATTCAGGTATCAAACACATCATGATAGAGATCCCCGAGACATGCCCTTAGCACTAGCTGCTGGTGATGGAATTCTGCCCATCTCCTTTGACCTAGTGAGTAGATATAATGATAATCTGAAAAGCCACTTCCCTTGAAGCCCTTCTACAAATTCACCTGTCTACAAATCAGTGATCATGCCTCATCGAGGCATCCCAAGATATAAAGTGTGGAGAAAGCAGAAGTGACCTCAGCAGGCAGTTTGGTCAATGGCGAAAGAGTGGGCTCATTCCTATCCTACCCTGTTATGGTCCCAGAGAAGCTATTGACATTAGGTCTACGAGTCCATAAGACTGATGCCAGGGTTTTGTTGGGCCTGTCAGACAGCCTTCTAAACCACAGACCCCAGTGGTCAACCATCACCTTACCTGGGGGTAAGAGGGTCAGAAGGAGGAGAGTGGAGAGAAGCACATGGTGCCTCATGGTTGACCAGCCAGTGAAGAGGAAAGGCATCAGAACAGTCAGAGTCCGGAGTCTTTGGGGATGGCAGGCCCCAGGCTTTTTATTTATGTGGTTTGTTCTTGGTTAGTAGACCCTGACAAAGCCAGAAGAACTCAGTCTCCCACAGGAAATCTCCAGGCGCAAAGGTACACGCTGTGCTGGTAACTCAATGGAAGAGAAAGCCAAAGTCAATGCTGCCCATGTCCCAGGGGTCACGGTAGCCTCCCTGTAAGCCATGTTCTCTCCTGCTTTCCTTAAGGCACATGCATATCTGACCACTGGCCATACATGATGACTTCCTGTGTGCCAGGTGGTGATGTAAAGCTAAGTTACTCCAGCTGGATCAATCAGATCATGGGAGATGAACAGTAAAATGGATGCAGGTAGTAATATACGTAAAGGACACAATAGGCCTAAGGAGATAGTGGTTCTTTATACCAAGGGGAAGGGAGGATGTGAATGTCAGGAAAAGCTTCATTAAAAAGATGATCAAGAGCATGCTCCACCCCTGGCCTGTTTTTTGTGGGTTTTTTTGTTTTGTTTTGTTTTGGTTTGGTTTGGTTTGGTTTGGTTTTGGTGGGGTTTTTTTGTTGTTTGTTTGTTTGCTTGTTTTTTTCAGTAGTTAGAGAATAAGCCCATGAACTAAAGGGTCCTGGATTCTATTCCAGTCAAGGGCATGTAACTTGGTTGTAGGCTCAATCCCCAGCCCTGGTTGGGATGCATGCAGGAGGCAACCAATTGATGTGTCTCTTTCACATAGATGTTTCTCTCTGTGTGTCTCTCCATGTTCCTTAACACTGTCTCTAAAAATCAATGGAAAAAAATATCCTCAGTGAGGATTAACAACAAAAAATAACATGCTCCAAATAGTTTGGTATTTCATCCCTATAGCAACTATGTTGAAAACATATTTGTAGATTTTGTGGCCTTTGGAAATATATTTTTATTATTTGTATAAATGTTTGTTTTTAATTAAAACCTGGCATTACAGAAAATGTAAAAAACAGAAAAAAATAAGTTCTTGGAATCCACTGCTGAAATTTAATCATAACTATACATTTTAGAAAACTTTTCCCAGTATAGATATCTTTTGCTTTCTTAGCAGAATAGTCACTATAATAATTGTCTTTTGTTTAATCCTAAATTGCACTATCTGGATAAAAATCTACTCTGTTGAATGCTAGAATCATCAGCTTCTATGATGGCTCCCAATGACCTCTGTCTCCTTGTGATCATGCCATTGTGTGACATCCTTCCCCAAGAGTGGGCAGGATTAACAGGTAGAATCAAGCAGGTGAGATGGTATGCCACTTCCTAGGTTAGTGGAAAACCACTTTTCCACTTGGGAACCCTCTCTTACCCTCTTGCTCTAAGTAAAGACAGCTGCCATGTTCTGAGCTGCCTTAGGGAAAGACCTCTGGGACCAGCTATAGATGACTAGTGATCAGCCAGTGAAGACCCTAGTCTGATCATCACTACAGGAGTGAGTCTAGAAGCATACAGATGAACCTCTAGTCTGGGCCAAAGCTTAACAGCAGCCTCAAAAGAGCTTTGGGGCCAAAGGTGCATAAATGAGCCTCACCATGTAAATTGCTTAGATAGTAAAAGTGATTATTGTTTTAAGCGGCTAACTTCTGGCCATGTGCCATACATCAGTAAATACCTAGTATTTCCGGGAATAAAGCATTCCCTGCTCCTCAAGCAAGCATGCTTTAATATGGCAGGAACAGGAGGGGGGAAGAGGAAGGGGTCACAGTTGTATTCAGGTATTTTCCAGTTTATGTTAAAGAGGTGATTGTATCAAAACATTTTAAACTAGAGGCCCAGTGCATGAATTCGTGCATGGGTGGGGCCCCATGGCCTGGCCAGTGATGGGAGCCAACTGGTGCTGGCCGGCGGGGGGGAGGGACTGTGGGAGTTTGGCTGGACACAGGAAATTGGCCGTGGGAACTCACTAACCACTAGGAGGCAGCTCCTGCATTGAACAGCTGCCCCCTGGTGGTCATTGTGCATCATAGCTACCATCCAGTCATCCAGATTTGGTCATCCAGTTGTATTGGTTGCTTAGGATGATGATAGATAGAGATAGATAGATAGATGATAGATAGATGATAGATAGATGATAGATAGATAGATAGATAGATAGATAGATAGATAGATAGATAGATAGATAGATATAGATAGATAGATAGATAGAGATAGATAGATGATAGATAACCATGCCAATGATCCTATCTACTTGGCATATAATTACATTATTGAGTGTGTGTGTGTGTGTGTGTGTGTGTGAGTGTGAGAGAGAGAGAGAGAGAGAGAGAGAGAGAGAGAGAGAATAAAAAATTATCACCCAACAATAATTGGGTCAAGAATGCTCCCTGTGATAAACAATCACTTGATATTTCTCTTTCAACTTTATGGTCCTTGTTGGAAGAATAAAGAACAAGGAATACTCCCTGATGAAGATGTAAGAGACATTTCAGATCCTACATATAAAAAGCCATTGCTCCTGGTAATAAAGGTAATGGGATGAGGGCAAAAGCAATAACAACATTCAGTTTCTGATCACATCTCCTGTCATCATGGGCTGTATCATCATAGTGGAAGACAGCAAACAAATACCCACTTAGTGTGTTTATTTGTTTGTTTCCATTCATTGCTTCATCCAAAGCTTCAGATAATGGTGTGTGGCCACATGATCCTGAAATATGAGAGGCAGAAAGAAAGTATTGTCTGCCAGTGCTTCGGATTTGAATATTGGTGAATTTTGTGTATTTTCTGACTCACAATGTTGCCATTTCACTTTTGTTCAACTCTGCCTTTCCCAACCCAAGGATGCTGCCTCACCTGCCCCTATGCACCATCAAACCATACCCAGGTAGCCATGCCTTAGCCATTAAAAGTATTGCCTCTTTATGTTTTACTTGGCTAAATATCTTTTTCTCTTATTGTATATCTTTATTCACACCCTGACAGGTATTGTAGAAGGAAAGATATATATCTTCTAATATATATACTAGAGGCCCAGTAAACGAAATTCATGCATGGGAGTGTGTGTCCCTCAGCCCAGCCTGCACTCTCTCCAATCTGGGACCCCTCAAGGGATGTTTGACTGCCCATTTAGGCCTAATTCTACTGGCAGTTGGACATCCATCTCACAATCTAGGACTGCTGGCTCCCAACTGCTCACCTGCCTGCCTTCCTGATTGCCCTAACTGCTACTGTATGCCAGCCTGATCACCCCTAACCACTCCCCTACCAGCCTGATTAATGCCTAACTGCTCCCCTGCCAGCCTGTTTGCCCCTAACTGCCCTCCCCTGCAGGCCTGGTCACCCCTAACTGCCTTGCCTTGCAGGCCTAGTCACCCCTAAGTACCCTCCCCTGCAGGCTGGATCCCCCCCAACTGGCCTTCCCTGCAGTCCTGGTTGACTCCAATTTCCCTCTTCTGCCACCCTGGCCACCCCTAACTGCCCTCCCCTGCAGGCCTGGTTGACTCCAATTTCCCTCTTCTGCCACCCTGGTCACCCCTAACTGCCCTCCCCTGCAGGCCTGGTGCCTCCCAACTAACCTTCTCTGCTGGCCATCTTCTGGTGGCCATCTTGTGTCCACATGGGAAAAGCCATCTTTAACCACATGGGGGCAGCCATCTTGTGTGTTGGAGTGATGGTTAATTTGCATATTACTCTTTTATTAGATAGGTAAGAAGCCTGGTGGGGGCCAGCTGGTTTGCCTTGAAGGGTGTCCTGGATCATAGTGGGGGTTCCCTTGGGGTGTGGGGTGGCTGGGAGAGGGGCCTGTGGTGTTTTTCAGGCCAGCCACGCCCCCCAGTGACCCAAGCAGAGGCCCTGGGATCTGGGATTTATTTATCTTCTATAATTGAAACTTTGTAGCCTTGAGTCGAGCCAAGCCTCCTGTTGGCTCCTGGCCACAGCCATTTTTGTTGGGATTTATTTGTCTTCTATAATTGAAATCTTGTAGCGGAGGCCAAGGCAGGCCAGGGCTGCAGGAGCTTGGCTTCCTCCATCGCCGGGGGCAACCCAAACCTCCTGCTCTCTCCAGCTCTGTGGCTGCTGCCATATTTTGATGGGATTTATTTGTCCTCTATAATTGAAACTTAGTAGCCTTAAACAGAGGCCAAGGCAGGCCAGGTCAGGTGGAAAGTTTGGCTTCCTTCATTGCCAGGAAATGCAAGCCTCCTGCTCACTCTGTAGCCACAACCTTCTTGGTTGAGTTAATTTGCATACTTGCTCCTGATTGGTTGGTAGGCAAGGCTTGTGGGTGTAGTGGATGTACAGTCAATTTGCATATTACTCTTTTTTAGATATGATGTGCTGATAGATGTTTTAAAGCATTTTTTAGCAAGCAAATTTATTCATAGGTATAAAGAAAATGTATGTTCTATCTCAGTCTTTTATTGTTAAAACAAATTCTTTTGGATTTCTGTCTCTTTTAGGTTAATGCTCAATATTGATGACTTTATTTCTCAGCCCCTGTTTTTCCCTAAAATAATTTTGTGTTTGTAAGTGTGTAAGGGGGGTGGGGAGATGATGATGATCTTTTGTTATTAAAGGAGAGAGAAATGTGGAAATTATATTTAAATATATACACTGTAGTCCACAGTCATTGTCAGAATTACACAAGTTGAATAAAATTTTCTATTTTATATGGTCTAACATAATAACCCTACCTTTTTGGTAGAAGTAACTTTAGTTTATCTGCTCTGCAAACCAGTATCATTTCCTTCCTAATTATTAAGAATGTTTTTAAGTATTTTATTGTTTGTTCTTAAATTCCATTTCCATTGCTTTAGGATCAAATATGCCTGTCTGTGCTCTTTCCACTTAGAATTATTGAGGGTCTTGGCAGAAATATGTAGTCTGTTCTTATGCCCTGGAGAAAATAGAAATTGAATTATATGTCACAAGTATGTTTAGAGTAAAACATGTCTTACAAATTTGGCCTATTTATTGTTTTAGATCCTCCAGAGTTAGTATTCATGTATTTCACACCTGCCCACTCTATCATCTGCGAGTGCTGCATTCCAGTCTACATTACTCCCCTCCCACATGTTCAATGGGCAACTAGAACTGGTGTGTCCTACACAAGGTGGTATGATGTAGTCGTTCTGTGAGCAGCAGCCATAGGAGAAGCAAAGGGGTATCAGCTGGATTGGTCAGAACAATGGGGATTTAAGTAATGATTGTTGCACAGGTGCTGAGGTTAGGGTTAGAGTTGGGGAGTGCGGAGGTAACCTGGAGATAACAGCAGGTGGTAGCATCCAGTCTTCCATGCTGTCTGGGAGAGCTCCCCGGGGAGGCCACCTTCCCAACTGTCACAGGTGCCTCTGACGCTCTGAGAAGAGACCTTTCGGAAGACATAAGATGAGTTATAGAGCACCATGAGAAGGTGGACAGGAGCCAACTGTGGTGACTGTAGTGAGAAGTTACTTCTGTGACAATGGTGACAGGAATAAAAATGAGGAAGGAAGGCCCTTCCCTCATCTCCAGAATTCAAGCTCTCCCAGCCACTCCGCAAGGAGTCTGGGAAATAAATGCAGGGTCCTGGTCCCCATGTCATCAAGGAGCATAGTGTAGAAGAAGGACAAAGTGACAAAGTGGAAGCAGTGTTTTTCTTGGTCTTAATTATTTTTGACATGCAAATGTTCTACATGAGCAGGTTGCAAGCTCATTTGTGATTTCTTTGACAGGTTTGAAGTAACCCACGGAAACTGTTTTGTGAGTCGGTCTGGACTAGGAAATAACTAAGTCAGATTCTCTTGGGCAGTTCGATCTGATGCTAATTGGCCCAGACATGTGTTAAGCCCTGAAAAAGGGGGATAAGCAAAAACAAGAGAGAAACAGTATGTAAGAATGACAACATCAACCATGATGCTGGAATGTCCAAGAGTGACTGTCAGATGTGGCCTGTCCCTGAGATAAGGTGAAGCATTTGGGGCATAGATGCAGGAGGAGGGGTGCAGAGTTGACATGGGTTTCCTTGGAGAGATGCCCTTGAGGCCAGGCATTTGTCCCTTTCTGCTTCTTCTCGTGGGTCACAGCTTGGAGCAGAGTTTTCTGACATCAGCACTGGACACTTGGAGCAGATAATTGTGCCTGGAGGTCATGGGGGATGATTTTACTGAAAATTCTTTGTTCCTGCATACCGTAGAGTGCTTGGCAGCATCCCTGGCCTCAGCCCACAGATGCCAATGGCACCCTGCTGGTTGTCACAACCAAAAGTGGCTCCAGACGTTACCAATTAGGTGCTGGAGCAAAAACACCTCCAGTTGAGAACTGTGGTTTTTAGAATCTATATCCTCCTGCAGAGTTCCTTTGTTTGTTTCTAGTTTTTTGGACAATTTTTAGTGCTTAAGCTTGGCTCTAGGGCCATTGTGTTGCAGTTGACTTTGAATGAACCTGGGGAAAATTTGGGTTATATACATGGATAAGGAGCCAAGCCAGACCAGATGCTTCCTGTCTCAGAAATAGTCCCTGTTGATTTACATTTGGGACTGAGAGAGAGAACGATGTAGGTTTTCTGCATGACTGGAACTTCTCCAGGCCACAGAGGTACAGGAAAGTTATGGGGGTGGAAGCTAGGGTTACTCATGTTCTGGCTGAAGGGATATAGCAAATTATCTCTTTTTTTTAGTTTTTCTTTTTTTCTAATTTTTCAAATACAGTTGACATACAATATTATATTAGTTTAGATGCACAGAAGGATTATTAGGCATTTATATAATGTTACAAGTGACACCTCCCCCCCCCCGTGAGTCTAGCATTATCCATAGTTATACAGTATTATGGACTATAATAGGGGCCCAGTGCATGAATTTGTGCACCTTGAAAGGAACTGTGGGCCCTGAGGTTTCAGTGGGAACAGGGAGAGTCTCAACCCATCCTTGGTGCCCCCACCTGATCCCTCCCACTGGCAGCCCCACTCCCTCTACTGCCACTCCCACACACTGATGGCGCTGGCCCCACTTGCACCTGCTCACAGGGCAGAGTGATTGAGACTGGCACCAGCAGTGAGTGCGAGCAGTGGTTGCTGCCCTGATTGCCCCTCAGCACCAAGTGATCAAGGCCAGCACTGGAAGCAGGTGTGAGCGCTGGGCAGGACCATGGCACACAGGAGCAAAGAATTTTCATTAACCACCAAGAAGCTAGCCACAATGAAAGTGACCAGCGCACCGCCTTGGTCTGGTTCCCCTGCTCACCTGCTCTGCAATCCCATCACAGCTGACACCCACTATGTTCCACACTCTGCTGCCGATACCCACCATGTTCCACAAGCACCCCCCAATGGTCAGTGCATGTTGTAGTAACTGATTGTTTAGCTGTTATGTCGTTCAATCTATTTGCATATTAGTGTTTTATATAGAGAGATTCCCTAAGCCATACTTTACATTATACTAGGTGAACTAAGTCAGACCCAGAAAGACAAATACTATGTGATCATGCATGCAGGATCTAAAACAGTGGCACCCATGGTAAGAGAGAGGAGAGCAGGGGATGGATGAGGGTGGGGGTGGTAGGAATTAGAGAGATGGTGGTCTAAAGGCACAAACTCTCAGTTAAAAGATGGCTAACTTCTGGAAACAGAAGAAAAAAAATATTCATTGATTCTATCTTCTTCCCAGGACCAAGGGAGGCTCTGTGACTTTTCACCCAAAAGAAAACTCTAACAATGATGGTTTCTCTACACAAAGTAACTAAAACCATCTCTAAGTAGAACAAATGGGTGGCTGATGTGTGGGGAAAACCTTCACTTGCTATTGTCGGTAAAATAGTGTCACACCTCCTCTGGTAAAGAAGGACATATTCTCATCCCTGGAACTATGACTATGTCACCTGACACAGCCAAGTATTATAGTTGAAGGTAGAGTTAAAGTTGCCAATCACGTTACCTTAAAGCAGGTACAGCTTACCCAGATTGGCTGATGGCATCACAGGAGTCCCAAAGGGGAGCAGAGGTGGGAGTGTTAAGAGGTGAGAAGGAGGGATGCCCATCACTGGCTGCTGATGAAAAGCAGCAACTCGCCATTAATGTCAAGAATGTGGAGGAAGGAGTCTCCAGAAAGGGATACAGCCCTGACCACTTAGCCTTAATTTAGCCCTGACCTATAGGTCAGACATCTGCCCTACGGAACACCTGGCTGTGCCTCAAGCCTCTGGATCTGTGGTAATTTTCAGGGTGTGCATAGGAAGCTGAGGCCCTGGTTCCCAGGGGGAGGGAAGCTTAGTGACAAAGCCTGGTAGAAGGTGGACCCAAGGAATCCAGTCTCAGCCAGGAGCACATGGAGAGGCCCTGAGTGCTCACTGCCTCTGGGAAGCATGAGGACAGGGTGCTTTCTCAGCTATGATTCTGTCCCTGGTGCAGGATTCTGATGATGGATCACTGAGTGTCTGACTGCAGGGTACCTGTGGGCTGCCCTTTATCAGGGACAGAGCCCCATGGAACAAGGTTGAGCATCTTCCCAAGGCAAAAGCAGCCACCCCGGTGAAGGCAGAAGGTTCCGGGGCTGGGCAGAAAGGGTGGGGCGAATGAAAGTGTCCCCATGAAGCCTGGAGCTCAACCAGGTGCTCATGAAGACCTGAAGACCAGACAGAAAGTTGCAACCTGACAGCAATGCAGCAAAATAGAGCACATGGGTATGCACAGTGGCTTTGGGTTTGCAGGTGCTTCTTTATTATTTATTGAGGACTCAGTGAGAATCCCTGTGAAAGACAAGTCAGAGCATGGAAGATGGAGATGGAGAACCAGAGAATGAAACAGCCAAACAAGCAAGACCCTCTGAAAGGCCTCAGTACAAAGTGGGTGTCGTTGGGTCGATCTGTGGTTGCTTTCCCAAGGGCAGGCAGCACACCTTGCCATTTAGACATCTCCCAGCATGGATTTCTGTTTCGAGGCAGAATTCTTGGCAGGCGCCATTTGGACGTTCACAGATCTCCTTGAATTTGCCCCTGGCTGCATAGAGAAGAGGGTTATTGTAACTATTGATTTGTCTCCCTGAATGTCTATTGAAGCACATGGATGGGGAGCATGTCTGGAAATAATACCATGAGAATTGTTGTTGCTGTTTTTGATTTCTTAGGCCAACACTTAAAAATTCACTTCCACACAGAGATCTGGATTCTTGGCATTTGGGGGGAATGTGGAAATGCTGGGTGTGTCTAAGTAACAACAGGCCAGGCTGGGGAACTGAGCCCCCTGGAAGTTCTAGGCATTTGCACCAGCTTCTCCTAGCCCTTCTCAGCTCCTCATGCTGATATGAAGGCTGGGTTCCATTTTAAATCAGCCCTGGACTGCTAATGACAGTAAGAGGTATCAAAGCCACCATGCCTACGTCTCTTTTTTCTGGAACCAAAGGCCAATTCTTAAATAGCTTCTAATCATTATAGAGCATTTATATCCATCCAAAAAATGCCTCTTGAAACCCAGATGCAATACATTGAATTTAACTCTTCAATGTTCACAAAGCAATCGGTTAATGGCTATGAAGATCAAATATGCAACATCTAGACGAATTCAGAAATAACTTAAGGGTATGTTGTTTTTTATTAGGTCTAGTAATAATTAATGTCGTTTTCTAATACTTTTTTAAATCGAATTTATTTAAACAATACAACAAAATTTAATCAACAATATAGTTGCCGTTGTTTTCTACTACTTGTGCCCAATGCTCAGGAAGCATTTTAATCCCTCTGTTGTAAAATTCTTGTGATTTTGATGCAAAAAATTTGGTCAATGCATTTTTGAGGCATTCTTGATTATTAAATTTTTTTCCAAGAAGAAAGTTTTGCAAAGAACGAAACAAATGGTAATCGGAAGGGGCAATATCAGGAGAATATGCAGGTTGAGGGAGAACTTCCCATTCCAATTGGCGCAGTTTTTCAGCAGTGATTCTTGCAGTATGCGGTCGTGCGTTATCGTGGTGAAGAATTACGCCCTTCCGATTAATCAGCGCGGGTTCTTTTTCTCTTAAAGCTTGGGCTAACCTTTCCAATTGGGCACTATACACTGCACTTGTAATGGTTTGGTTAGATGGTAAAAGTTCATAATGAAGAATTCCTTTAAAATTCCACCAAACACATAACATCACTTTTTTCGCATGCAAGTCAGGTTTTGGCGTGGGCTGCGGAGCCTCATTTTTGTCCAACCATTGAGGCCGCCTTTTCAAATTAACATACAGCACCCATTTTTCATCTCTGGTTACAATTTGCTCTAAAAACGGCAAACGGTTTTGACGAGAGAGGAGCGAACTGCAAATTGTGACTCTTTGATTACGGTTGTTGTCGGCCAACTCATGAGGAACCCATTTTCCAAACTTTTGGACTTTGCCAAGTGCACGCAATTGATTGGAAATTGTTTTTTGTGAACAATTTAAAGTTGTCGCAAGCTCTTGTTGGGTAATTTGAGGGTTTTGCACCAAAAGAGCTTGAAGAGCTTCTTGATCAAAATTGGACACACGGCCTCGACCACTCTTGTCATCTAACGAAAAATTTCCCTCGCAGAATTTCTCAAACCAACGCTGGCATTTTCTGGCGCTAACTGCATCTTGACCAAGAGCACTATAGATGTTTTTTGCAGCCTCACTTGCTTTTCTTCCTAATTGGAACTCGTAAAGCATGCAGTGCGGAATATGCTCTTCATCAGCCATCTTCTTAGCCCTAGTTTTGCAACAAAAACCAAACCAAACACAAACTTTTTCAAGCAAAACTTGTTAACTGCACTTCACACGTTCTGTAGATACCACGTGTTTGAAGGTTATGTCAATACAAGTCAACACCAAGCAAGATTTAAAACGAATGTTTAAAAACGACATTAATTATTACTAGACCCGATAAATCAACCATTGTCATTGTTGAGCACTCTGCAGAAATCACTTGGAATCAGAGTTTTTCATTTTCTGGGCTGTACAACTCTTCCTTCTATCTGCAACCAGTTCAACTAATATATAGGTGGGCCCAAATGACATTGGCTTGTTGTGGAAACCCTTAATATGACCCGCATGATTAGTGCCCACTCAGGGTCCAGTTTCCGGAGGAGGCCACACACTAAAATGAAGAGAGAGACTGGAAAAGAGTTAATTTGGGACAAATGGGGGGCCAGGCAGGAGTCAACCTCTAGTGGGAAGACTCCCTAGGCTCTGGCCTTGCTATCCTTTTATTGAGGCTGCTATGGGATACACCCAGTACCCTTAAACAGCTATGGGAAACACCCATTACCCTTAAGCAGCTTTGGGAAACACCCATAGCCCTTAGGCAGGTAATAAGTGGATTATCATATCAGTAAGGATTCACATGATTACAAGATGGGGAAGTTGCCTCAGTTATTATTGTCTCAATTAGATAAAGTGTGGTTGGCTCTGACCTTTCAGAGCTTCAAGGTTGACCAGCCTCTTTCTATTAGTGAGACAATGATTGGTTTCCGGCAGCTTGTTGCCACTAAAAGGTCATATGAGGTTATTATATGAGAAGATGAAATACTGGCATATCTTGAGACATGTTAGAAGTCACTCTGTGATGTCCCTCTATTGGGGCACAACTTGCATTCTACTCTGCTGTCCTGTCTCTACTCAACCCCACTGCTGAGTGATGAACACCTTACTCTTTTCTGTATGTATATCCCAGAGCCGATCTCAAGTCTCAGCACATCATAGGCATTCAGCGAATGGCTATGCAATACTTGGTTAATGCAGAGCTATTTTCCATCCTTTAGCATGTTGGTACAGACATTTGTTGTCACTTTGATGGCACACATCTTGGAGGGAGGTGTGTAGTTTGTGGCAATTGACAACTGAACATTTTCTTTTAAATCACAAAGGAGTTCTATAAAAATATGACCCACTGTTACCTGTGTAAGAAGCAAGGTCACATTTAGGGTATTTTTCTTACTTTTTTGGCCATTCATTCCCTTATACTTGTAGATTATGGGGTAATCAGCACACTCCACACATATAGAGACACACATGGACACACATGCAGACTGTCACTGAGGGAGAGAGTCAGATGGAAAACATGGACAGAAAGACTCAAGCACTCTTAGTACTAAACAGATGCCAGGGTTCTAACTCCCAGTTGGGTCCCCTAAGGCTCAGGATCTGGGCTCTCAAATATCGCATTGTTCTTGATTTGCCTTCCTTTTAGTTGTTTGCTCATGGGTCCCATGTAGGAAACCTCTCCTCCACCATATGCCAATGCTGTGTTTGGGGCTTGTTATCTGTTACCTGGAAATGAAAGTGGATGGTCCATGACTTTGTGAAAGTGAAAGGCCATCACATCATTTTCCCCTCATATGCTGCTTCCTAGTAAGGGTGCACAGAGATGCTTAATTTGCAGATACTTGAGAAATGGAACTGTTTTCCCACACCCATCTCCCCATCTACTTCCTCTAGAGTAGTTCAAAAATTGAGTTGAAATTTGCCCCACAAGCTGCACCACAACCCCCTAACCTAAAGTATTCGATACTATCTACCTGTTCACAGTAAATATTCCTTTTAAAACACAAAGCCAAGTCTGGATTCAGCAAGAATAGGCATGCCCCCCCCCACACACACACACACACCCAGTATATTTTCTGTTGAAAAAATCAGGGAGGTTTCCTTTTTCAAGCAACAGAAAGCATAGCAACCAACACTTCCTTAAAATATAAGAGGATTGTTCACATTTCCACGTGTCTGACTACCTGGATACTCCTTCCTGACCCTTAAGAGCCCGAATTCTCAGGAAAAGATAAGATATTCCACTAGATGTAGACCAAAGCATTGCTTATTCCTCTTTGGATCTACACACGCAGAAGTCTACAAATGTCCAGGAGTTGTAGGACATTTCCTGATCTATCTTGGGTGTCTGGTCATCTCCTTGAGTGAAAGCAAGGAGATGCCCACAGATGCCTCACACCTGGAATACACCTGTGCATGTTGAGTGTGGGAAGATACACTTTAGTACAGTGTTGTCTCTGATCCCTTTGTTTAACTTCTACTTCAGAAGACTAGATGTTGAAGAGGAAGAGGAAAAACCAAGGGTGGAGATGGAGAATCACTAGGCAGAGCCAAGCCCAGGGGACCAACATTATGGAGGTACAAGTTAGAGAATTCTTAGATGCACAGTACACCTTTCAAATACTAACCCCTCCTCACTAATCCCTTTCTGGGGCCCTACAGCTCTAGTGTAACTCTCATGCCAGCATCTTAGGGTAACTCGGCATCTGCAGATCTTTTGCTGAAAGTAAGTGGAGGCATTCAGGAGGTCAAGTTTAGTAGGATAACACACCATTTTTTTGTTTTGTTTGTTATTTAGGTCTAGAAACTGTTATTAAATTTGCCTGATTCATTTTATTTTTAGAAATGGAGCAGATAAGGTTTCAAGCACTTGAAACACCCTCAATTTCATTTCATCTGAGAGTGGCTATGGAGAGCTAATGAGACATGACTGAAGGTGAGAGGCTGAGGGATCTCATCCAGGAGGTCTCCCAAGTTTGTTATGAGACCCTCTTCAGGGCACAGGTGACAGACTTCTGCTCTAAGCACTGGATCCCCAAGAGGTCCAGGCACTTTGCCCTTACCATGGCTTCTGCGGAGTTAATTTGGTTACCTGGTGGAACTTGGCTCATAGAGAAAAGAATGGTACAGAGGAAGACAGCAATCCTCATGGCTCCTGAGAGGAGAAAGCTTGGCTTCGTTTCCAGGAGGCAGAGAAAACTTCCGTCTGCGGTTATCACACCAGCGGAATGTCTGTGTCTGGGTAGTAAGTGCCTTTCCATACCTCATTAGGGATGTTCCTGGACAGAGAGGTCCTTTATAAGGAGACCAAAAATCCTTGTTTTGATGGACACTCAGATCATTAGGAGGATGTGGGTGCACAGTTTTGACCAGAAATCCTTGTGAAGTGGGAACATAACGTACAAACATTTTTGGCAACAGATTAAGGTCTATGAACAAAGAGTTCGCTATATTAAGTTAAAATGAGCCAGACTATGTTGAGAAACCAGCCAGTTTAGTCAGTGACTAGATACTTTGTTAGTGAACATTTCCTGGGACTTATTAGCCCTGAAAATAATTAATGCTCCCCCACTAGTCCTGATCTGAATGCCCAGGTGCTCTGCTCCCATATAGTGCTCACTGTACCATGTTACTTTGCTAAACATACAGTCACCTCCCCCCTAATGTGTGGGCTTCTAATTTGTCAGAACCATGCTGAGGGGACTGTTGCATCCTGTGGTCATATCCTCCCAGGTCCTCTTCTTCAGCTGTCAAAGTGCAGGGGAGCGAGATGATGAACATGGAGGCAGTTATTCTGGATTTAAGTTCTAATTCTCTAGACTTGCTGCTAATAAGAGGTCTGGTCCTCTTCAAATCTCAGCAGCATTGTTGAATGTAGATCAGGGGACTCTCAATCATGACTGTGCATAAAACCAACTGAGAAAGAGGCTTCCAAATGCACACTTAGATCCATTCCAAGATTAGTTTGGTCAGGTGGAGGAAGCCTGGAAGTCTGCATTTTTAACAAATTTCCCAGGTAGCAATTATGAAATTTATTCTGGAATACTCATTGGAAAATGTTAACTTAGGTCATCTCTAGGCTTCTTTCTAGCTCTGATATTAGCATATTCTAAGTACTCTGACTGAGAATAAATGTCATGTTTGGCTTTTACTAGTATGAATAAGGAACAGTGTGTGTGTGTGTGTGTTTTCAGCATGGAAAGGGGAAGCACACACCTTAATCTATGCATAATTTGGATTCTAGTTTTATAAGGAATAGTCAAGGATCGGCCTGGGTGAATAAGATGACAGAGAGACCAATTTGGAAGAAAGCTATTGCACTAATCAAGGTTCGGTGAGGCTCCAAACTGTACAGAGAGAAGGGAAGGAAGATGTTTGTAATACAAATTATAGAGGGAGTAATGACATATGAAAAAAGTGGGCACACATGTGAATAACCCAGTCTGCTTTTCCTGAGTGAAGAGGTGTAAGGCTTTATTCAGCTGCACTAAAGGCACGGTGAAGGTCACCCACCACCTGAGCAACAGCCAAATTCTGTCTCCCAGTGACAGCAAGAACCATTGCTGCAGGACCCCTGCTGGCCAGGGGACACACAGACCAAGCCTTGAACAGACTCTGCAGAGATATGGCACCTATCAGTCCTGACAGGAAGGGCCTGGCAGATCCCCCAAGTGGAAGAAGGCAGTTACACGGTGAGTGCTAAGGTAGTTCTGGGGCTGAGTTCCCTGACGGCAAGGCTGCTGTGTGTGACATATATTGGCTCTGGAGCACCTGCATTCCTCACAGAGAAGTCTGCCAACCAGGCAGCTGGAGGAAGTACAGAGAGCTGCCCAGTGTCCTGTGGCATGCAGAATTAGAGTCCTCAGACCTCTGTCCAGTGATCCTCTCTTCCAGGGGCTCATGCCCAAGACCCTATGCTTATCATGCCCTCCTGAGAGCTGGACTGAGGAGGGGAAAGATGGAGGGGCAGGCTATATCTGGTGACTCTCACTTCCAGCTGTGGGATGTATAAAAACGTGGAACTCCAGACAATGCTGAGGAAAGACACTTAGACATAGCCTATTTATGTATTCAAAACAGGACTTACTAGTATCAAACTGGCATTGGAACTTACAATATATTTTGTAAGAAATTGAGTCTACACACAGGACTTTATTTATATCACATCAAAATATAATGTAAACTGGAAGCTATGAGGTTAATGTGTCCCTGTGAAAATGGTGAGGGAAACTCTGGATAATGTACCCACATAGAAAGTGTGCATTTTCCAGCAGCACATTGACCTGAAATGCAAGTTTTCAAAATCATAGAAGCATTTTAGTGGAAACAATTATAGGAAATACTCTCTTGGCCTTGTACATTTTAGTTATTATTGGTCACTGTAAACGTATTTAAAATTGTTGTAATGTAAATAAAGTTCTCTCAAATATGATATTCTACAGGAACTTTGATTTCTAAACATTGCTGATATTTTTAAAAATTAATTTATCTATTCACCAGAGCATAAAGAGGATCTTCATTGGACCTGTGGCTTATTAGATATAAAGAGTCTCAGGCAGAGCCCAGCTCCACTGCATCACTACATGCATGTCAGCAATGTCCCCACAGTCTGCACACACATTGAAGTGTGATCAACACGGCGTTTAGATCAATTCTGATTTGGGTTACACTGGAACCACTTGATGAGAAATAAAAACTACTGATGTCTGGATCCTTATCTCAGAAGTATAAGTTCAGCAAGTTCTTGTGTGAGTCCTGAGCACTGGGGACTGTTAAACACGTTCTAGATCATTCTAATTCTCTAATCAGGAAACTTGCAATCCTTGTGCACCCCAGAGGAATGACTTCAGTTGAATTTTTGTTTCACAAAGCTCACACTGTGTATAAACCAGAAATACAGAAGTTTTGATGGAGAAGGTAGGTCAGAGGCTGAAGGGTTTACAGGGACTTACATGTAAAGAAAGGCAGATGAGGAAAAACTAAATGGGGGAAGACTTCTGATATCTGGATTCTTTTAACTCAAATCATGTAAAGTCATGGCTCTTTAATCTGTGTTCAGGTCCCCATAGACCTGAGGATGAGGAGTGATATGTGGTCAGGTTAAAGGACCTCAGACCTCGAGACCTGGGGAAGCAGTGGCATGGACCCCAGAGTGGATAAATGTAAAGGAGAAAGAGATACATACATATATACACACACACACACACGTACACATAAGTATTCGTACACAGACAGTGATTTTGTTCTTTTAAAGCAATTGCTCAGCCCCCTCCCCCAACCTTCCTGGAAACCACCTTCTGTGGTTGTCAGTGTGAAATGCAGTGTTTCAAACTGGCAAGTTTGGCACTCAAGGTCTAGTTCCCATTAAAAAAAAAAAAAAAAAAAAAAAAAGGAAGAGTGGCCACGTGCTCAATCGCCAGCAGGGGTCGTGCAGGAGGCAGCAGGTCAATGATTCTCTCTCATCATGGATGCTTCTCTCTCTCCCTGTCCCTTCCTCTGTGAGATCAATAAAAACATTTTTTTTTAATAAAAAGAAAAAGAAGAATAAGAAAGTTTATGCAGGAGGAACCTCAGGTGTTGAGGATCCACCTACAGCGGCCTGCCCTGATGGCACCTGTTGGCAGAGGGTTGGACCTTGCACCGTCCTCTGGTTGACCGGGAAGAACCTCTGAATTCGATGTAAGTAAGTGGCACCACAGCTCCAACGTTTTTTGTTTTGTTTGTTTGTTTAGAGGATATTCCTTTTTTTTAAAATATATTTTATTTACTTTTTACAGAGAGGAAGAGAGAGAGAGTTAGAAACATCGATAAGAGACATCCATGAGCTGCCTCTTGCACGCCCAGTCCTGGGGATGTGCCCGCAACCAAGGCACATGCCCTTGACCGGAATCGAATCTGGAACCTTTCAGTCCTCAGGCCGAGGTTCTATCCACTGAGCAAACCGGTTTCGGCAGCGCCAAGGTTCATACTAAAGCAGGGGAACCCCTGAACGCCAAGCTGGATGGGTCCATTGATTACCTTCCCCTCTCACCCGGAAGGAGACCGGCCACTCAGGTTCCGCGCCCGGAAATGCCCGGAGGCGGGGCGGGGCGGGGCTGAGGGACGCCAGGCCCCGCCCCCAAGCGCTGCAGGCGCAGCGTGACCTGGCAGGCCCACCCCTTCGGCTCGCAGTTTCCGGTCGACCCGGAAGCAGATCCCAGCTCCAGGATCCCCTTGGCGGGAGCGAGTAGTGATATTTCTAGTTCAGGGTCGCTGGGCAACACCCGGCGCCGCGTCCTCCACACCCGCGGCCCGGGGCCCGGGGCCCGGGGGGACCGCCCGCCCCAGCCGCCGGGGGCCCGCGCATCCGGCAGCCGCGGAGCCGCGGGCCGGGCCCTCACCTGCAGGTAAAGTCGCCCGCCCGCCCCATCCTCCCCGCCTGGACCCCTTTCACCCTCTCCGCTCCGCACCCGCGCCCCGCCCCGGGGATCTGCAGTCCGCAGGTCCCCCTGAGTCCCCTCCCCATCCGGGCGCCTTCCGGGACCACGCCGCTTCCCGGAACTTCCGGTTTCCCGGCCCTCAAGCCCCGCCCCCGGCCCAGCTGTCAGCGGCTGCTGACCCTCCTGTCCCGCCGGAAGCGCGCTTCCTGCGCAGGGACCTGCTGCCCCGTGGGGAGCCCGCGGGTCCGGTGGGGGCGAGGGAGGCCTGGGGCGCCGGGTGGGCAGGAGGAAGCAGAGGTCCGGGAGGGCAGTGAGAGGGAAGGACAGCCGCCCGGGCAGAAGGCGGTGCTGCGGAGGCCAGGAGGCAGCGGGTCCGCAGGGAGGAGTTTTGACCAACAGTTGCCACCACCGCCCAGGGCAAAAGGAAGGCAGATCCCAGTTTTATTGGAGTTCTGTTGGCAATGAGCAGTTATGCTCCCATTTCCATGTGCCTTGTCCGGTCCAGGTGAGGAGGTTCTGATTGGAAGACACTGTTTGGTGCTTATTAGGGAATCGTTCCATATGTCAATGTGAAAGAGTGTTGGTGATTTATTTTTATATAAACAGCCAAAACCTAGCTTAACCAATTAGTTCAACGTTCAACATTTTTCTCCCCTTATGTAATCTCTTAAGTTAGCCGGCTGTGAACTAAAATGCCCAACGAAATCTGTGTCTTGTATCTGAAAATGAGTGAGGATGGGCTGGGTTGTCATGGAATTCTGGGGGAAGAGAGCTTGTCTGTTCATGGCTTCTACATGGCTCCGAGCTATTTTCCTGATTTCCGGTGAATGTCCTGCTAATTAAATCTGCTAACAGTCTTACTTTGTTGTTGTTGTCGTTAATCCTAACCCAAGGATAAGTTTCCATTGATTTTTAGGGAGAGTGGAGGGGAGAGGGAGAGACACAGAAACATTGATGTGAGAGAAACACATCCATTGTTTGCCACCTGCATGCAACCTGACCAGGGCCAGGGATCCAGCCTACCACTGAGGCACCTGAAACAAACTCAGAACCTTTTAGTCTACAGGCTGATGCTCTCTCCACTGAGCCAGATCAGCTAGGGCTAATGGCTTATGTGACATTCTGGAAAAGAGGAATTAAATACTTGACATTGTTATGTTAAAGCC